GCTGTAAGACATGTTCAATCCTTATATATTTTGTGTTATATAAAACTTATAACTAATTCTACAGTATATTTATATTAATGAACCAGTTTAAAATTAAATGTGTTGATGTTTGTAAATAATTTATTCTTTCTATTTGTCATCTTATTACCTATTATTCATAAAAAGAGTTTAAACTTAAATATAAAGTTCAGAAAAATATAATTTAATGTTTAAAAAATATGCTAGATAACCTAAAAGTAATTTTAATTATATAAATGTATAAATTATTTCACACCTAATCTTTTCATTTTTACTAGATTTGTTATTGTGTACAAGTTTAATATGTTACTCGATAATTTATAGTCTTACACATAATGTTAATTTGTATCAATTTAAGTCAGATACAGCTGTAAGTAGCATATAATTATTATGTCACTATTTAAAGTTATTCAATATACTTAACTTATGAATAGTTTTAGATTTAAATAATTAATATTCATACTAATTATATTATTTTTCTATATATTTAAAATATATGTGTCCAAATTTACATATTGCAATTATAAAATATATTATTCAAAGTAAATACCCATATAATAATGTAGTACGTTTTCAACATTTTTTTTTTTTATATTTATAAGCAACATGAAATATTAAATTGAAATAAAGCTTTGTATGATAATAAACAGAACATTTTTAACATAATTTTTCAATTGTAAATAAAAATATTAGTTACTTACAGAAATTTACTCTTATTTAAAACTATTCAAATAAGTTTCATTTGCTTTCATTAAGATTAAATTGAATTTTTTACGCATTGTAATTTTAAAACTAAACTTTTTTTAAAAGAAATGTCAATAAGATTTTCAATTATTTTAAATTTATTTTCTAAAACTGGAGGTAATTCATCTAAACGTCTTTCACAAATATGACATTTATCTGATTTATTATAATAATTATTTAATTGTTCTACATTCAAATTTTTCATAGGAACTATTTAATCATATATTTTTGAAATATTTTTTTCCTCTAATTCTATACAACTTAATAATTCCTTAGCTGCATTTGGACCAGAATATTCTACAGGAGGTTTATAATCACCATTACTATATTTAATATAATAACAAAAATTATTAGGGATATGTTTCTGATAAAAATTAGTAAAAACCTCTCTATCATTTGGTTTACATGTGTAGATTGGTTGAAGTGTACATTCAAAGTCAAAATAAATCTCAAAGGGGATTTTTAAGGAATGATTATAATTTTTAAATTGTAACATTTTATCATAAGATTCAGGTAGTATTACTTTAGCAGCTTTATTGTTATAATAATCATTTTTGTGTTCATTTAACTTATTTTCTATATCAAAACTATTTAAACACAATTTACATACAAATGTTTTATGACCATCTTTTGTTATTTGATTTCCTACAAGTTTCCATAAATCCTTAATCCAACAATAATGAGCTTTATTATTCTTTTTTAAATATAGCAAATCAATATGACTTTTATTTTCTATTTTAGTTATTTCGAAAGGTACAACATGTATTTCATTATCACCATCATTTAAACAATAAATATTTATTATTTTTATTTATAATTGGTTCTTTTCACAAATTTAGAAATATCTGTGGTTTTTACTGGAAATTCATTATCCTTTAGTTCATTCTCAAATTCATATTTCCATTCTTTATATCTAGATACTCTTTGTGGATCTTTTTTAATATCTTTACTATGTAAAGCAGAGAGTAATGACCAAACAAAACATTTATTACCTCTATTTTTAACATTTATAATAGCATGTTTATCTTGAATAAGTTTAGGTCAGGGCCGTCCCTAGGGCAGGGCAAGTGGGGCCCTCGCCCTGGGCCCCGCGCCTTCACCAGTTGGACAGGCCCCGCATTTGTAGATACCATAAAAAAGTCAAATTAATGAGAAAAAAAAATTATTATTTATATATTTTTATATCTTCAATTGCTGTAATTTTTACTACCTATACCTACCTACTTATATTAATTGACATCAGTCGTCAAATAAATGTATTGCATTTTAAACGAGTTAATATGATGAAAATTCAATTTTCAAAGATGAAAATGATAAAAATCTTCAAAGCGCTCTGTCCCCCCAAAAAAAACAAACTTAGCTATAATATTTATAGAAAAAAAATGCTTAGGTTCTGAGTGGAGCGATAAAGTATATTTATTTTACAATGATGTGTTTTTTTTTCTGTTTTTTTGGCGCTTTTTGGGTATTAAAAGTGCTCCGATTTTCTACATCAGCATCTTTACTGATAGAAAAGTGAAACTAGTTGGTATTTTTGGGAAGTCAAAATTAAAAATTTCTAGTAGTTTTAGAATGCGTTGACAAAAACAAAAAAATAGGTGACTTTTATACAAAACCAATTTTTGAAAAATAAATTTTTTTATTTTGGTGTATCTCAAAACCTCATAACTGTAAAACCTTGAAATTTTCAACAAATATTTATATTAGAATTTTCCATAAAACATTTTCTCAATATTTTGACTATTGAGCTAGTTATAGGCTTGAGCCCTTGAGAAATTTTTCCATTTTTCTAAATTTTTTTAAAATTATCCTCTATAAAATCTTTTTCATTTAGTAAAAAATCTTGAAAATGTAATGATAGGTTCCTTATAGTTTTCATTAATGGAAGCTTTAAAAATACATAGGCTCAATTATTTGTTACATGCTTATAAAGTTCCAATTTTGACAAAATTCATAAAAGTTTTTTTTTCATACCTAACTTAAGACATTTAAATAGAAGGTTTCCAACAAGTTTTTGTACCTCTATCAAACTAAAAAAGTTCCCCAAAAAGTCACGTTTTCGATCTTTGTTTATTTCTTTTTAGCTACTAAATTTGATTATTTTTCAAGTGTGCTAGGCATTGTCTCCGCTCAGAAAATTTTTCGTTTACAATAATTTATCAATGTAATTTAAATATAACACATCCATTACAACGACATGCTTGACACTCACTGTACAGCAGAGCGGTACCACTTGTCCACCTTTTTTTCATATTGTATTAGGTGCCTACTATATTTATAGACTTATTAATTTATCAATATTATTATATTAAGTATAAATATATTACGTGTTTTGTTATTAATTAATTTACTTATTCATATTATTGTAAGTACAAGGTATTATATTTTTAAGTATATTTGAGCGTAGCCCCCTTATACCTAGGTAGGTATATAATATCATAATTCATAATATTAAATATTTAAATAAATACAACTGCCAACCGACGATAATGACATTTTAGGCCCCACAAATTTACTCTGCCCTGGGCCGCGCAAATCGTCCGGACGGCCCTAATATTTACCCTAATATTTAAGTACCTATATAATATGTCTTATACCTAGACTGACATACCGTCTCCGCTCAGAATCGTTTTTCTTATACAATTATATTATATCATTGAATTCAAATTTAATTTTATCCATCTTGTACACTACTACTGTACAGCAGAGCACCTTTTTATACATTGAAATCGGAAGTGACCGAAAACAATGTCTTGTATGACAAGAGATGATAAAAGTACAGATAAAGACAACAATTTAAATAATTTTTTTACTCTCCGATTAGTGATATAATTAAGTATTTTAATGACAGCGTTTTCTTGCATATAATATATACATTTTTTATGTATTATGTAGAATGTAGGTAGGTATTTAAAAATAAATCTTAAAAATGGCACTATTAATTGTAATTCATTGTTATGTGGTTTTAAGGGGGCTGGAGCAACCATTTTTTTCATACATTTAGCTCAATAAGCGAAATAAAATTAAACTTACTTTCAGTAGCTCGATTTCGATTTTAAAAACTAAATTTTGTTTGTATTCCTCTCTTCTAAGTTAGCTCGGAAGTGGGTTCTTATATTTTTCTAAGTATAAATTTATTTTGATAAAAATACAAACTTACTATGCATCATATTTGATTAACTAAAACCAAAGTCGTAAATCTATATCCTAGCAAACCTAGAAAATAGACTAAAGATCTTTTCAAAATAGTTATACTTATAACACTGCAATAGTAATTTATTTACATGCAATATATTTTAAATATGTATACACAGTTGACAATATACAATACATTATGATGACCAGAGGAAGCTGTACCCGTCCAACTTATCGGAACCGGACGGGGGCACGTATCGTGTGTGAGTCGTGTCCGACTGGCCGGTGATGGATAAGAAAAAGAGTCACGAGGTGACGTTTGAGAACGGCAGGATGGCCATAAAGGACGACTGGACAAAAGTGATGACCGAATCGAAAACCGTTCAGTCGTCCGCCGTAAAACAGACGTCGGAGTCCATCGCCAAATGATGGTGCAACAATATTCGTTCCATTGAGCGCCCACCGCCACATCACAATCTCTTCAGTCGGGTCAACTACGCATTTTACGGGGGTTGAGAAAATTCGGATTCAACCCCCCCCCCTCGAAAGAGGGCATTTGACAAAAAGGGTATTGATAGTAAACAAATATAATACTTGCACACACACCTGCTCCGAATAAATTATCCATGCCTACGTGTATTTTTCTCGCCCCGTTTATTTAAACGTCATAATATAGCTGCCCCTAATGTCTGAAGGACATATTTTATTTATACGTTCATTCAACTAAAATACACGTGAGTTGTTGGTACACCGTAAAAACTTTCTTTTTTTTTATGAATAATGTAATATTAATTGTAACGTATTATTATACACTTTGAGAACTGTAAAATACATTACGTTAAAATATATTATATAATATAGACTTAATAAAAATATTGAAACCTTGTAATGATTATAATAATAAGAAAATTATTATCAAATGCCATTTTATTTTACATAATACAGTTGTACACATATTATAACCAGTTGGGGGTTACGTTTTTAAATTCAAACACATTTTATTATTACTCAATAGTCAATACACTTAGAACGAACTGTGCGTAATCTTCGACATACTCGACCAGAGTAATAACGACCAGCCAGTATAGCTGGAACCATAGTCCTCAGTCCGCTGTGAAGAAATCGTCAGCCGACTGAAGAGGTGCATGGCCACATTTAACGTCGGGCAAATGTGGAAAATTCGGTATATTTTGTAGATGCTTGTGGACCTCTTGCTGTACTTGGCAAACTTTCTGAAGTTTAATATGACATTCCTGAAACGTAAACAATACCAATCATTATTGATTATGCTTCCCAATTAATTCCGCCACCATTATATTATTATGTTTTTGCGGTACTTCAAAAAAATATGCTCGTAAACGGCATGTTTCTGTCGAAAAGCCAATCGAACAAACGAGACTATTAGTTACTCTGGAAATAAGAGTGCACCAACATTATATAGAAAGGTTTTATTGAGTATAGACGTATATAAAGCCTACAAAAGCCACCTTAAAATACACGTTTTCGATATAATATTACCCCACAAAAGTTTGGTCTTATCGATGAATTATCTTATCGCACATATTGGTGACTTGATAGTTTTCAAAAAACTCTAATAGTTCTAACGAAAATAATCGAAATTTTATGTAATTTCCTACATTTATCTTAACGATCTTACGATAAGATATCTGATGTTTCAATTGATAAAATCGTATCTAGAAAGAAATAGTTGAAAATATAACAGGTTGAGTGTAACGGTCGTTTGTAATCGGGAATCATCAACGTCAAAAATACGTCCGGTGGACCCCGCCGACCTCACGATATTATACTAGTCGTGAACTATTAAGTACCTATTGGCTAATGGCTTAGGTACTCATGATAACCTTTCAATCGTTCTTAACTCTGGAGAAAAGACGTTAAAACAGTAAAATTGTCTAAATATGCGAAAAAAAATTGAATAATTGTGAAATATGTAAAAACATATATTTATGACAAAATATGTAAAGTCAAATATAGCTTATTTTATCAAAAATATTGTGAAACAAATTTATCACTTGCCAGTTGCTGAAATTAGTTTATTATGTCGCAGAGAAAATATGTATTTACATATAAACCCGAGACCTAGTTACAATTTATAGTTACCGTAAAATATATTATTTTTAATCAATAATCATAATAATTTTAAATATTACAGCCTATGGAGTATAGGTATTCTAACTATTTAAATTCAACTATAAATTATCCAAATTATAATCGCAAGGTTATCTTGCTCCTTTATCACAAAAAAAAAAAGAATTATGTGTACGATTATTGAATTATTATGATTTATGATCATATTTTTTTATAATATATGTATAACTGAAATCAATATTAATTTGACTAGGTATTAAGTCACGTCTGTAGGCCGTTATAAGTTTAAAATACATATAAAAATAAATACTCTTTCCATGATTGTATTTGATTATTTCAATAAAATTCCAATATACAAAAGAGTAACCAATTAAGACGTGTAAAGAATATAATTTTTTTTTTAAACTGTGTAATTAATATAGGTGACAAATGTATAGTTATTCTAAAGTAAATATAATATAATGTAATTAGAAAAATTGAGTATAATGTGATATAGAAGGAGTTAATAATTTGAATACTCTTCCATTTTATAATTTTTCGTTTACTCTATAAACATTTATATTTATACTAATTTGTAATTTATTCTCATTTTTAGATAAGTTAACTCCTTATATGTATATAATATTTATATCATTGCGCTGTGTATTTAAATGCACACGATTGTGTTGTTAGCTCTGCGGATGGTGATTTATTAACAAGCTTCAATTCATGTGTTTAAAATTGTAATAACAAATACTATATAATTTACATATTGTACACATGTAGGTGTTGGGGTATGTTAGACTTGTGATTATTTTAACAATACCTAAATATTATAGAAATACTCAATTACATTTTTGTCTATAATATAATATTTGTTGACTAGGGTTACGAATCATGTGAGTATAAAAATTTCATTAATGAACTATATTAAAAAAAATAAAAATAATATGACTATAACTCACCTGTAACTTTTGTTCAGCTTGATAAATTAGGTCTCTTTGAGATTGAATTGAATCATGCAATTTAGAATAGACGTTCTTGCGGTCTTCAATTTCACACTTTAGTATAGTGTTGTAATTAGTCAACGATGCAACAGTATCCTTTACTTTACGCGAAAGTTCTTCACCTAAATACCATAAAACATAAATCAAACATTAGTAACAATGGATTCTAATTACTAAAAATATTAACATACAGTAAAAAAAATATATGCCAATGAATGAATGAATAGAAATGTTGTGAATTAAAACAGTATTTTATAGTAAACATCTACAATTATTATAATGGAGACCATATACTGACTACCGTCCATCTTAGGCAAGACTAAATGAAAAAACAATATTCCACAAGGAATTAAAAATAAACTAATGCAGTGGGATAATGCACATTCCACTATACTACTTTTTCCAATAGATCCATGTTTAAAGAACACCTACAGTGTATATAACATTGGAATTAATAATACATTTTAATTTCAATATTTACACTAAGGTAAAATTATTGTTAAAATGGTTGGATTACTGAAGGAAATTTTCCTTATCCATTCAAATTTTAACAAACATAATAAATTCCAATAATATATCACAGAAAATGAATAATTGACATATTTTTTTTTTTACTTTAATACACATTTTAAGAATTGAACAGGTTAATACAAAACAATAGAAACCTTTTAACTGATAAATCAAATGGACATCAGCAATTTCTAGAGGAAGTTTAGAGATATTATGTTCTCGTACACATGATGGTGCATTTTCTGAATCCTAAAAAACAAAGTATATTATTATTTTAAAAAATTAATATTTTTTTAAGCATATTAAAACAAGTTCCTATGAAAAAATGAATATGATTATAATTGCATGTTTGACCAAAAAGTTTTAAATTAGTTTTTTTATTTTATTTTTGAGTTATAACAGTTATGCATACATTATTTATTTACATAATTCAAATTTTAATTTCAATCTTTTTTTTCTAAACTATTTTAGTAAATAACTTATCTATTTACATTTAGAACTTTAATTAATTCTTCTGGTTCAGGAGGATCATTAACAGGAGTCTTAGAAGATAAAATCACATGCAATTTGTCGGTACCACCCAATTCAACAGTAAATTCTATATCTTTTTTTATGTCATTGTTTTGAGATCTTGTCATCTTTGATTTGTGATTCTGTGAATGTTTAACTTTTTTACTCGGTGGTTCACCTGTAGGCTTTTTCGCTGATTCTTTACCTAAACATTTTAAAAACAATAAATTAAGTTTTTATTAATTGACTACTAAATATTATTAAAATATTATACCAAAAGCATCCATGAATTCATCTATTTGGATTTTACTGTAAACACCTCTTTCTTCCCATATATTTAACAATCGTGTCAATTTCTGTCTGGTCCTTGAGGAACAGTTGCTTAATGATATTTGCTTAAATGCTTTGGTCAGTTCTTTGCTAAACTCTTTCCCATATTCAGTACCATTCTTTTTGTCATTCTGAATAATATCATTGGCCAGGTACATTAATATCAATTGTTTAGATTCTGAGCCTGGAACAAATAAGTTTTAGTTAAATTTAAATATTTTCAACTAACATAGACAAAATACAATTACATATTTTTCATTTTAGGCACATTTTCTATGAAAATAAGAAATATAAAAAAAACACATATATCATAAATGGTTGTGGGTACTTAATGTGTATAGCAACCATTGTTCTTTAATGACCAAACTTATACAAGGTTTTATTTCCCTTTATAGTATAATTTATGATTTATGAATGCAATTTTGTACATTTGAGTATACAATTAAGAATTTACAAAATAAACTAAAGTATTTAATAATTTTCTACACTTAGACTTACAATACGAAATCCAAATAAAAAAAAATAAATGCTCTATCCAAAATTTTAATTGATTAACTATATAAATATATATATATATTTGGTACCTATAATTTTCAAATATTTTATTTTTAACTTAAATAATAAGGCATAAAAATGTTAATATCAAACATACTATATGTTATTTATAGACTACGTTTATTTTCAGAAAAATAAATATTATAGCTTATTGAATAGACATGCAAGTCATCAACCATAATAATTTTAAACATCAGAATTTCATTTCACTATACATATTAGTGTAGGTAATATAAAATAGAATAATATTCTAGGAATATATTATTTATGGAATAAAAAACAACCTACTTCGGTATCTATTTTTTAAATAATATATTATATGTACTATCAGAAGTAATAGTGTAATACTTAGATTGGGAAATCTAATAATGAAAAAAATTATTTTGCTATTGAATATAATATTATATAGAATAAATATTATCTACTATTAATATTAAATTATGAATATGGTTTATGTTAATCAAATATTAATATATTCAAGATTATTCTTATACCTGACAAATTTATTATATTAATAACAACTAGATAAACTTGGTAAACGTATCAAACAAAAATTATTATTTTTTTATTTTTCAATTATATCAAAAACTTAAATAACCATTTTTGATGCACTGAGTTTTTCAACATTTTAATGAAATAATAAATTCAAGAAGATGTTTAGAATTAGATTCTTGTACCTAATCTTAAACTGTAATTTTTATATTTAAAAAAAAAAACAATATTATCAACATTTGTTAATATTGGTTAGGTTGGTTTCAATAAAAGTACTAGTAATATTATAAGTACTTATAAGTTATATTTAATAAAATTTATGAATACAAATTAATAATAACTGGGCGTGTAGCAGGTAAGTGTATAATAGTTATCATTCTTTATAATGAACGATCCAATCTAAGAAATGAATAAAAGCTCTTTATTAATTAAGAAATTATGATGTTATGTAATAATATTTTTTACAACAGAGTAGGTATAAAGCAAATGTACTTAAAATACAATATTTTTCAATCAACAGGTACCCATTACAAGTAGATATTGCTTAAAAACTATTTTTTTTAGAAAATAAGAAGTACCTATCAATTGTTTTTACATACATTTAGATAGCATGTCAATCAACATAAAAAGTAGTCCTAAGTATTTTTTTAATTATAATTTTTAAATGTTTTAGATACAGTTCTTTCAAAGAAAACGTTGTAATCAAGGTAATGAGTCATATATATATCGAACACAAATTTAATAGATATTTGAAATTATTATAACATAATTTTTGCACAGAAAATAATAAACAGCATTGAGCATCTTAAACACAAAATGAAATGAACTGAGCAGGAGAATCTCTTTACCTACAATAATGAATTGAGTATGTATTACCTATGTTACTAAACAAATTAAAGACACCGTAAGTCCGTAACAATGTGTTGGCGGCAACATCTAACATTAGTTAATAACTTAATTCTACTGATGCTTTTTACCTGTCAATATTTCTCTGGACCAAATCTTGACGACAGTGTGAGCATAATCCCTATGGCCAATCAACCAAAGGGATAGTGTCTGTATGCTCAGCTGGGAAGAATTAAGGTGTCTCAATCTTTTGTTCAGACTTTCTTCGGTGAAGCCGGCCATGATGTGATCTTTTTGGTCTTTTACGTCCGCCATGAGCAACGACAGCACGATTATATTACCAGTGTCCAACAGTTAGCACTATCGTATCACGTCACCGACGTGTTTCAATCAAACTATGGTCCTGTTTGGTCAACATTGAGTGGATGAATTGTATTACATTAATAACGCCGATAAAACAATAAAAAAAATAAACAATAAAAACATACCCAAGTAATAGCTGGTTGGCACCGACACTTCTGCAACGTATGTAAGTAACCTACGTTCGCCGAGCGCACAGGCAACGGAGAACCATTGAATAATAAAAATGAAAACGGTAACGCGCGAAAATTATTACCGAATCAATGGCGGTGCACACCGATATATTATTATTATTTAGACTGGCTGGTGACAATTATTTGACGATTAGCATTTGTGCATTAAACGTGGGGAAACATAAAACAACAAATGGCTACCGGACGGCGGACACCAACACAGCGAAGCTCAACAAGTAACAACTGACGCAACCATCACACACGTTTGATGTTGGTACCAACAACACTGAACACACGATCCTGATTCGTCGAGGAGTACAAAACAAGGGAGAAGTGAGCCAAGTGGTAGCGCTCGCCCACTCCGCCCGGCCGTCCGTGCAAGTGTGAGTGAGAAAGAAAGAAGAGAGAAAGAACACGAAGTAGTAAATCATGCAGGCCATTTTTTTCCGCCTCCTTTATCAACATTAAACATAATATTAATCATTATCAGCTGTATTTCTGTAACATTGTCGAACAATCGTAAGACATAAATATTCATAAAATAAGAGTTTAAACGTGTGAGTTTTAAGTTGGTACTAAGGTACTATACTCACTACAAGTTTAAATTTAACGTTAATCAACGTGGTGTATTGATCTAATAATTTACGTGTGAAATAAAAAATTACTTACAGAAGTGTTGAGCAGCAATGATTCAGTTTGCCTCAAGTAGGTATGCCTCAATTCCATCCGTCAACACGAAAAGTTATAATATTATGAGACTTTTTGACATACATACGTGCCCAAAATTCAGTTTCGGGTCTGGCCACCTACTGTGTGAATACGTGATCACCCGCAACTCTGTCCTTATGATAAAAAAAATATGGAATCTTATAAAAAAAAAAAATAATAATAACAATAGGTAGGTATTTAGGTAAAATTTATTGAGAAAGAATGAATTTTGGCATAGAAAAATACAACAAATAATTAACAATTTTAGGACATAAAAAAAAAAAAAAATGTCTTCAAGCAAATCAAATTAATTTTTTATGAGCGTTTGAAGTTCATATTTTTACAATATTGGATATTCACTCGATTCCTCATATAGCGATTGTTTCTATCCTAATTCATTGATAAATTTGATCCAACTTAAATTTCGATGATGCACGTAATAATCTTTATGCAATTTATTTGCATGTGGTTTTATTAAAACATACGATTTTGTGATAATAATAATATTTGGAATGTGTAAGTCGAAGGGGTGGAGGTGGTCGAGGAAGGTAAAGATATTTTAAGGTTTTATTTTTTTTTTTATTATAAGTGGGGTTTGAAACACCGAGTAGCTGGTAGTTTCGTTACGGTCTAACCAAACCGGCTGGCTAGTACAACATAATAATATAGGTATTTTATTTGTCGATTTCGAATATTTTAGAACGGCAATTATTTACATCATACGCATGCACGTGGCGAGTAGCAGGTTTTATATAATATATAATAAAATGTTATATTGTACACAATAAAGTCGGCGGCGGTTTTCTTCGCATACTCTGCGGGACATTTCAACCACCCCTCGACATTCCACATCATCAACAGACTACCGTAGACCACGATTGTATGCCATGGATTGTAGCTATGAAATACATACAGAGTGGTCTATTTAATGCAAGACACTTTATCGTTTAACCATCTAGGTACTTTTCGTATAACAAGTATCTTACGTTAAATTGATTACTCTGTATATATAAATATGTTTATGCCCCGTGCATGTACAACCACATACACACTTAGACGTTGGACACGAACTATACGTATATATTCACAAACGTCAAACATACACACACACACACACACATATATATATATATATATAGGGAGATTCATCCTTTTTTTTTTCTCTCAATAATGCTGTTATTTGAAACAGGATTTTTGGAATTCTTATACATACTCCAAGACCAGATTTTTTTTACTACTTAGGGAGTGTCCTGTGCTGATAAAATCTGTTTTTCGAACGATGACATTATTAATTATTTGTATTGTCCTTAGGAACGTCTTAATGGACTAGCAATATTATCTGTTCATCGTACAGTAGACATAAGTATGAATGAAGTAATGATGAACTAGCAATAAAACAAAGAAAACTTGATTTTGTATTAGAAGTACCTATAAAGTAATGAAAGTATTAGTATGTAATTATTATTATTTATTATAGTAAAAACAAATATTTATGATACTATTATTTTTGTACTAAATTTATTATTGTGTTATTGGACATAGGTGGTGATAGTAGGATGGTAATTGTTAACGAGTTAATTCTCTAAGAATATTTTTTGAGTGTATATTAAAAATTGAAATTTATTTCAAATCTAATGAAATATAAATTATAATCAATATGTTATTGTTATTAACTAAAATTAATGATTAATAATTGGTATTGTGTAAACTGTACAGTATGTAGAGAGTAAGTATAGGAAACCTCAAAGGGGGGTGTAGGGGGCAAAGCCCCCCACTATTACATGTCGTTCAGTGCCTCATCCCATCCCTTTAGCAATTCCTAAGTACGCCACTGCACCATTCTGCACCAATCTTGTATTACATTTTAAAATCTTAGATTTAAAAAAAAAATTTTTACGAATTCTTAACTCAAAATAATTTGCTGATTTTCGTGATTTTTACTTATTTTGTCAATATTTGAACTTTAAATGCTTATAAAAAAAACTGTGAGTAAAAAATGTTATTGATATTCATAAAAAAAAACTAATAAAATTGGAAACTGAAAATGTCCCTAAACAGTTCAAAATAAATCAAAATATTTTGAAAATGTTGTCGTGTATAGAAAATGGAAATATAAACAACCAGTGAAAACATCATGTATATCTACGGTCATTTATTTTAAATTTACACCAAAAAACCAAATTCGATTTTGAGTAAAAATTCCCGTTTTTTCTTAATTTTTCTTTTGTTTTTCTTGGTGCTATTGAAAACTACTAGGAATTTAAATTTTTACCTCTCCAATACACTGACGATATTCACTTTCCAATCGAACAAGATACTGAAGTTGAAATTCGAAGAATTATTTCGACTACTTATTGTGTACACGGACACAAATAAAATAAAAAATAAATATAAATAAATAAAAAACACACATTATTGTAAAATCAATACATTTATCGTTCCACTCAGAATCTAAAAAAATTATCCGATAATTTATCTAGATATAATATTATTTGTTTTCATCTTTATCTAGATAAATAAATAATTTAGTTATCTTTATCTAGATAAAATTATATTGATCTCGGCTCAACACTGATAATATATTAATAGATACACACAAAATACATCTGAAATTTAAATAAATTATGCCCATCAATAGAAGCTAAAAAACAAATTGTAAAAATGACGCAATATTGAAATGTTTTATACTCTTAATCGACAACAAAACAATTATTATAAGAACACAATTTAGAAGAAATCAATCTATAAAATATTAATTAGGTACATAATACCTACTTCAATGATCAGAAGCTAATTGAGTTGAGAAATATAAAACTAGTAACTAAATTAGTTTTCTTTGAGTTATACATGCTTAAATTTTACTTCCTGTACATTTTCAATTATTCAAAATAACATTATCTCTGTAGTCAGTACAAATTGTGCTATGCGATTTATATAACTGTATACCATCAATAATGATAATATAATATCAGTTCCAAGGGCGTTACAAGAATAATATTTATTGTATAGTATAATAATTATTATGAAAAAAAAATAATAAGGCCATTTAATACACGGGTTCGGATCGACTCACATTTTAATAATTTTACGCGGCGGAACCGGAACTAAATCTAACTTGTATACGAACGCATAGCATTTCCATTGTATATTAATGTTTTTAAATAATAGATGCTTGAATTTAGTTAAAATATATATAGAACAATGTAGTATAAGTTTTGTAATTTAAATTTTATATTTATACCCCTATTGAAGTGTAAAATTCACGTTTGTCGGTGACTTTTTTTTTTCAAGTCAACTTCAGTACACTCCGTATTGTGGTGTAATAATTGTGTACCTACCAAGACTTCAAAATAATAGACTGCCGGGTTTAAAGCTTGCAGTGTATGTACATTTTAAATGGTATTTTTTGAAACTGACATTCTTCAGAAAATGTAATATAATAAGAATAAAAAAACACAACTTATGATCTATACCTACGTATTAGCAAAAACTTAACGTTTGGACCACTTCAATTTATTCGATATCCATATAATACAAAAATATATTATTTTCTAATAACAATACCAATACGGTAAAAAAGTTTATACCCGTAGGTAAAATAAGTTAATCGATTTTTCGCACAATCCGTTAACGTTTTGTAAACTTCTGCAGGTATAAGTAGGTAGGTACACTCGTGCATTATTATACGTCTCCAGTGGCGTCCGCAGGGGGGGGGGGGCTAACGGACGAAGCCCCCCGCCCATTGCCCGTATTATTATTACTTTTTAAATAAAATATTAATCATGTTTAAACTGTCAACTTTAGTAAGTAAGACGTAAATTTCATACATGTCAAATCAGAAAATGAATTAATTTTTGAAAAAACATTGTATTTGCATACCAATTTTCATAAATTATCTGTAATTTTTCGGTAAAAGTATGAACTACTTGTATGAAAGACCTTGTATTAAATTGTCTAGCCTTAGCTTTACATATATTTTAATATTTTATAAGTTTTGAACTAAAAATTAACTGTGTTTAAATTGTTTTGAACTTTAAATACATATGTATCGTTAATATTTTAGCTATAATAAAA